GAGAGTGCGAGAAAGAAAAATAAGTGTGTGGGGGGGGGGGGGATCACCATTTTCATTATCTAAGCCAATCCTAAAGCTGAATAAAACTCCACATTACCACACTATATTCAACCCGGCAATTAAAATGTCAGTTAGAGTCATGGACGGCAGATAAATGACTACTGTTCGGGGCTATATAACTGCTATTCACCAGCCGGTTAACTCTTGCTGTTATGTGGCAAAGAGATGCAATGAAATCAACCTATCCTGACGTAGCAGAGAGCAGGCCATAGAGTGATTTCATCAGAGCTCTTACACCACTGAGATTGGATGAGGGACGAACAAACGGATAACACATTGGAAGTACACCCATTTGCATATCACAGTACCATATCATGCCACTGCTTGCAAAAAAACCTTCACATATATGGAGACATATATCAAGGTTTATAAAAGATGAATTAACTATTTATTCATGAACGCAGGTTTATTAATGGACCCTTATGGTAAAGTGTCACCAGTTAGGGAATAAATTGCACAATGAATGCACTACTGCATTAAACAATGGCCCTTCACCCCCATAACTCATTAGAGCTTAAATGACCACACAGTTGACACAATGTTTGTTTTCATCCAATTTTCAGCAACAAACCTATTCTACAATGTCTACGGCGTCTACAAATTCCAATGGTTCCATTGGTAGACAAAGTCTTTCTGTATCTGCCTTTGGCCTACATAGAGCTTTAGACCTTCTACCCTGAGGTCAAAGATAACTTCTGCTGACTCATGCTTACCTTTCATTTATCAGAGCTGTTCACCAGCTTCAGATGATAAAGACTTTCACATACTGTGCCGCCTTCACATGCCGTGTCGGTCACAAAGAGACACAGCATTTATCGCAGAGATTGTAAAAATCTACCGGGTAACTAAGTTCATTCAGTCATCTCTTTTTCCCTCTCAAGCGCCGTGGTAGAGCACGGCGCTTGTAACGCCAAGGTAGTGGGTTCGAACCCCGGGACCACCCATACACTAAAAAACATTATGCACGCATGACTGTAAGTCGCTTTGGATAAAAGCGTCTGCTAAATGGCATATTATTATTATTATTATCTGTAAGTTTAGAATTATAGGGATATTACTTGAGTCTGTATCTGGTGTCTCAAGAACGATCGGGTAGACACCAGGTCAGCCAAGTCACCCTTTGTCTCATAGTGGTAGTTGTCAAAAGAAAGTGTTGCAATTCAACATATTCAGTAGAGAGAAAAAGTAGATGATGAAACATACTAAAAAGCCCAGGATCATTGTTGGGTTGAGTGGGGAAAATGAAAAACCAGGGCATTCAACAAGTCATTTGACTCTTGACCCCTAGGCACGAACCAGGTGTTGCAGTTGTTATGGACGGTACTACCAGGCTGGTACAGCTTGTTCCCCTGCACGCATGGGCACATGGAGACGGGCACACATTGGCCCTTGTCGTCCTGTGCCAGGCCTGGAGGGCACTGGCAGCCTGGCACGCAGCTCCGGTTGCCCTGCTCACAGCTCCAGCCCTGCCGGAGGTCAGTACAGGAACCACCGCATGGCCGACCACACTCCTGGTACACCTGTCCCCCCGAACACTGCACCGCTGGAGGGGAGTGGAAGAGTATTTGAAAACGTACATGTATTTTTTTCATATTTGATCGGCGTATTTAACTGATCATTTTCAGAACCTTTGACATTACACAAATTGTGCCCCCAATATTCCTAATGATAATAATCCTAAACCTCCTACTAACATTGGAACATTGTGTAGCGTATTAGGTATATAAACATTGGCTGTTACGGCAGAAGGTGTGGTTGCGCCAGCTAACAGGCACGCCCTCCTGGGCACAGTGGCGGGCATAGGCGGTGAGGACGGTACACTGGCAGGGTTTCTGGGGGCCACAGCCACACACTTCAGTCAGACACAGACGCAGGTAGGGCTCTCTCTCCACCACATCATGACAGGCCTCCAGAGACCAGAGAAGGAGAGATGGAGAAATGCATTCTTTGTTGGAACGATCTCTACATTTAAACACTATCAAAATGAACCATTTAGCTTTTGTACTGAACAGCGCATGCACACACACACACACGCACGCACGCACACGCACACACACACACACACACACACACACACACACACACACACACACACACACACACACACACACACACACACACACACACACACACACACCTGGAACACAGGGCTGTGTATGACAGAGCAGACACTCTCTGCGTACTGTCTCCTTTGGCTGTAGGAGCCACAGGGATCCAGCGGGGCCGCCCGGGGAGGGAGACAGTCCCCCGTGGTGAACTTAGAAGCGAAGGAGGAGACAGTGTTCTCTACATCCCCCTCGGGAGTGGTGAAGTCATCATGCTGATTCCAGGTCAATGTACCACACAACCCTCGGATCTGGGGGAAAACACACACATCAATTAAATACCACCACAGAGGCTGCATTTACACAGGCAGCCCAATTCTAAACTTTTGCCAATAATTGGTCTTTTGACCAATCAGATATTTTGCCAATAATTGAGCAACAGATCAGAATTGGGCTGCCTGTGTAAACACAACCAGAGAGTCAGGACCTTGGTTCGGTAAAGAATGAAGTTAGAGTAGGAGCTAGGTAGAGTTTTACCTTGTGAGCAAAGACAGGCTGCAAGGTGATGAGGGCCAGGGGCCCGTCCAGATGCCACAGGATCTGTGCCCCAAACGCCTGTACCACCAGGAAGGAGGATGAGGCCCTCCGCACCACCAAGTCCGCCGTCACCAACTGGCAGCGCCTCCCTTTGGCTATTCAGCGTCACTGCACCTGGAACAGGACAACAATGTACCACATATTTTTTTTCCTGCATAGAGGGCTCTGCGCCAGCCAGTTCAAACTGATTGGTTGATTGATTGACTGATTAAAAACACATTACAGACAACACCAATGCAATGCAGTTCTGTCAGCCCACCTGTGTCAGTGATGGTCACTGTGGTGCGTAGAGCGGTGACAGACATCTCTCTCAGACAGCCCTGTCCGCCACCCATCACACACTCTCCACCTCGAATGTTCACTACCAGCTTCCTGTACACAAAGTCCTGCATATACACAACAAATGTTTCACCTCTAACAAACAGACTTAGACACACTAGCAAAGACACATAGACGTGCCTTAGTGATCTACAAATTGCAGTAAGAAAAGCTTAAGATGTCTCCACTTAACTAACAGCTAAAGCCTGACTTTTCACAAGAGCCATCGTGGTTTGATACTGACAGATTCTAAAGGAGCAATATGTAATAAGACAAAGGAAAAATGTCAGATGATTTCTTGATTGGCACTTTCTACAAGAAATGTGCCTTTAACTCGTTAGAAAATCCCTATGGTCGATGTCCACGCCCTCGCTGAAAACTAATTAGCATAATACACAAATCCCCATAGAAATCCATCAGTTTAAGCTATAGATATTTGTTTATTTGCATTGGATGCGCCTCAATCCAACGCATCCACCTATGTAACACTTCCGCATCTGCAGTGAAAGGTGACAGAGCTAGAGCGGTGTTTGTCAGACCATGAGACGTCCCGAAAACCAGTCTTCTTACAAAATCGTCTGTAGCGTCCGAACGGTTTAGCCTATAAACCATTATTCCCCTCTATGGAAAGATGAGACTCACGAACACGATGGTGTTCTCTGTTTTGCTCTTTGAACCCCACTTGCGTCTTGGGTCTCGTCTGAAGTCAGTACAGCTGATCTGCCAACTTCTGTCTGTAGCGTCCGAACCGTTTGGGCTGCATACCAATATGACCCCTCTGTGCAAAGGTGAGACTCTCACGAACATGTACATGTCGGTTTGCTCTAGGATGCCCACAGGCCTCACAAGACTCGTCTGAAGGTCCCCTTGTGCCAGTCGAAAAAATCTTTGGTATGTCCTTCTTTAAACAATTCCATATAGCTTAGTAGTACCCTCCCCCTCCCCTCCCCCGGCTTAGACAGGGCTTAGACTCTTATGGGTTAACTTTCAGTTAGTTCCAGTTACTATGGAGATGGTTCCTGATGGCGTCTTACCTCTACGGCAGTGAAGCCACAGTCCCCTCCCTGCAGAGAATACCTCTTCTTGTCGAAGGTAGACACCTGCAGACCACCCATTAGGCTGCACTGGGCAGCACACCTCTCCCCTGAACACTGCCACGCACCTGCTCGACATACACTGAGACGGGGGGACAGAGAGAGAGAGAGAATGAGTTTTAGAGGTAGCAAGTAAGAATGGGGGGTTGTCAGAGAGGGGTGAGAGAGACGAGAGAGAGAGAGAGAGAGAGAGAGAGAGAGAGAGAGAGAGAGAGAAAGGTATGAAAGGAGGGTGGGTCGGATGAGAGGACATAGAAAATATATTAATGAGGACCACGTTAAGCTTTTAATAATAACATTGATTGCCCACATTTTTAGGACACCTCCAATAATGGACATGTAATTCCAGCCACTCACCAGGTGTTGCACCTCTGCTGGATGGTGTTTCCTGACTGGTAGGTGTGTCGGCGGTGGAAACAGGGGCAGTCATCCCTCCTCAGGCAGAGCCCCTGGTGCAGGTAGAGGCCAAGGGGGCACTCACACCCCCCTACACACTCCTCCCTGCACTGGCCTGAAGCAGGGGGCTGGGGGGAAGAGCAGCTAGGTGGGCAGGAGGACACGCAGTCAGAAAACACCTGCCCCCGCGGACACACACGCCCTGGGGGAGAGAGAGAGAGAGAGAGAGAGAGAGGGAGAGAGAGAGAGAGAGAGACAGTAAATCCCTAACAGACAATGGGTATTTCCTGGTACTTTCCAATACTGGAAGTCTGGAGGGGGCTGTGGGGCCTTACCACACAGTCCTGAGCTCCTCCAGGTGATGATGACGTGTTGTTGGGCACACTCGCGGGCATAGCTGGCCAGAGTATCACACGTGGCCTCCTCTCTGTCTCTGGTCCCCAGGCTGCAGTGCAGGTACAGACATGTGTCAATGTAGGCTGCTGGGTCCACCTGACCAGAAAGGCAAAGTCATGGGTTTCACAGCAGTGTTATTGGTTACCATTGTCATACCATTGCTGGAATATGATATTCTATTGATTGAAATCTGTTTGTGTAATATGGAAAGTGAGTTGTATGTTGGTGTTTGTGTGTGCGTGTGTGCATGTATTTGATACACTGCAGATTTTGCAGGCTTTCCTACTTACAAAGCATGTAGAGGTCTGTAATTTTTATCATAGGTACACTTCAACTGTGAGAGACGGAATCTAAAACAAAAATCCAGAAAATCACATTGTATGATTTTTAAGTAATTAATTTGCATTTTATTGCATGACATAACATTTTTACATTTTTAGTCATTTAGCAGACGCTCTTATCCAGAGCGACTTACAGGAGCAATTAGGGTTAAGTTTTTATTTTTTTATTTCACCTTTATTTAACCAGGTAAACCAGTTGAGAACAAGTTCTCATTTACAACTGCGACCTGGCCAAGATAAAGCAAAGCAGTGCGATAAAAAAACAACAACACAGAGTTACATATGGGGTAAAACAAAACAAAGTCAAAAATCAAAAATACAGAAACAGAAATACATATATATACAGTGTGTGCAAATTTAGCAAGTTATGGAGGTAAGGCAATAAAATAGGCTATAGTGCAAAATAATTACAATTTAGTATTAACACTGGAATGATGTGCAAGAGATGATGTGCAAATAGAGATACTGGAGTACAAATGAGCAAAATAAATAACAATATAGGGATGAGGTAGTTGGGCGGGCTAATTTCAGATGGGCTGTGTACAGGTGCAGTGATCGGTAAGGTGCTCTGACAACTGATGCTTAAAGTTAGTGAGGGAGATAAGTGTCTCCAGCTTCAGAGATTTTTGCAATTTGTTCCAGTCATTGGCAGCAGAGAACTGGAAGGAATTTCGGCCAAAGGAGGTGTTGGCTTTGGGGATGACCAGTGAGATATACCCGCTGGAGCGCAGACTACGGGTGGGTGTTGCTATGGTGACCAATGAGCTAAGATAAGGCAGGGATTTGCCTAGCAGTGATTTATAGATGGCCTGGAGCCAGTGGGTTTGGCGACGAATATGTAGTGAGGACCAGCCAACAAGAGCGTACAGGTCACAGTGGTGGGTATTATATGGGGCTTTGGAGACAAAACGGATGGCACTGTGATAGACAACATCCAATTTGCTGAGTAGAGTGTTGGAGGCTATTTTGTAAATGACATCGCCGAAGTCAAGGATCGGTAGGATAGTCAGTTTTACGAGGGCATGTTTGGCAGCATGAGTGAAGGAGGCTTTGTTGCGAAATAGGAAACCGATTCTAGATTTAACTTTGGATTGGAGATTCTTAATGTGAGTCTGGAAGGAGAGTTTACAGTCTAACCAGACACCTAGATATTTGTAGTTGTCCACATACTCTAGGTCAGACCCGTCTAGAGTAGTGATTCTAGTCGGGTGGGCGGGTGCAAGCAGCGTTCGGTTGAAGAGCATGCATTTAGTTTTACTAGTGTTTAAGAGCAGTTGGAGGCTACTGAAGGAGTGTTGTATGGAATTGAAGCTCGTTTGGAGGTTTGTTAACACAGTGTCCAATGAAGGGCCAGATGTATACAAAATGGTGTCGTCTGCGTAGAGGTGGATCTGAGAGTCACCAGCAGCAAGAGCGACGTCATTGATATACACAGAGAAAAGAGTCGGCCCAAGAATTGAACCCTGTGGCACCCCCATAGAGACTGCCATAGGTCCAGACAACAGGCCCTCCGATTTGACACATTGAACTCTATCTGAGAAGTAGTTGGTGAACCAGGCGAGGCAGTCATTTGAGAAACCAAGGCTATTTAGTCTGCCAATAAGAATGCGGTGGTTGACAGAGTCGAAAGACTTGGCCAGGTCAATGAAAACGGCTGCACAGTACTGTCTATTATCGATCGCGGTTATAATATCGTTTAGGACCTTGAGCGTGGCTGAAGTGCACCCATGACCAGCTCGGAAACCGGATTGCATAGCGGAGAAGGTACGGTGGGATTCGAAATGGTCGGTGATCTGTTTGTTGACTTGGCTTTCAAAAACTTTTGAAAGGCAGGGCAGGATGGATATGGGTCTGTAACAGTTTGGATCTAGAGTGTCACCCCCTTTGAAGAGGGGGATGACCGCGGCAGCTTTCCAATCTCTGGGTATCTCAGACGTTACGAAAGAGAGGTTGAACAGGCTAGTAATAGGGATTGCGACAATTTCGGCGGCTAGTTTTAGAAAGAAAGGGTCCAGATTGTCTAGCCCAGATGATTTGTAGGGGTCCAGATTTTGCAGCTCTTTTAGAACATCAGCTGTCTGGATTTGTGTGAAGGAGAAGCGGGGGGGGCATGGGTAAGCCTCCTTCACTCATGCTGCCAAACATGCCCTCGTAAAACTGACTATCCTACCGATCCTCGACTTCGGCGATGTCATTTACAAAATAGCCTCCAACACTCTACTCAGCAAATTGGATGTTGTCTATCACAGTGCCATCCGTTTTGTCTCCAAAGCCCCATATAATACCCACCACTGTGACCTGTACGCTCTTGTTGGCTGGTCCTCACTACATATTCGTCGCCAAACCCACTGGCTCCAGGCCATCTATAAATCACTGCTAGGCAAATCCCCGCCTTATCTTAGCTCATTGGTCACCATAGCAACACCCACCCGTAGTCTGCGCTCCAGCGGGTATATCTCACTGGTCATCCCCAAAGCCAACACCTCCTTTGGCCGAAATTCCTTCCAGTTCTCTGCTGCCAATGACTGGAACAAATTGCAAAAATCTCTGAAGCTGGAGACACTTATCTCCCTCACTAACTTTAAGCATCAGTTGTCAGAGCACCTTACCGATCACTGCACCTGTACACAGCCCATCTGAAATTAGCCCGCCCAACTACCTCATCCCTATATTGTTATTTATTTTGCTCATTTGTACTCCAGTATCTCTATTTGCACATCATCTCTTGCACATCATTCCAGTGTTAATACTAAATTGTAATTATTTTGCACTATAGCCTATTTTATTGCCTTACCTCCATAACTTGCTAAATTTGCACACACTGTATATATATGTATTTCTGTTTCTGTATTTTTGATTTTTGACTTTGTTTTGTTTTACCCCATATGTAACTCTGTGTTGTTGTTTTTTTATCGCACTGCTTTGCTTTATCTTGGCCAGGTCGCAGTTGTAAATGAGAACTTGTTCTCAACTGGTTTACCTGGTTAAATAAAGGTGAAATAAATAAAAAATAAATAAAAGTTGCAGCGGAGGGTGCAGAGCTGGTGGCCGGGGTAGTGGTAGCCAGGTGGAAAGCATGGCCAGCCGTAGCAAAATGCTTGTTGAAATTCTCGATTATTGTAGATTTATCGGTGGTGATAGTGTTTCCTAGCCTCAGTGCAGTGGGCAGCTGGGAGGAAGTGCTCTTATTTTCCATGGACTTTACAGTGTCCCAAAACTTTTTGGAGTTAGTGCTACAGGATGCAAATTTCTGTTTGAAAAAGTTAGCCTTTGCTTTCCTAACTGCTTGTGTATATCGGTTCCTAACTTCCCTGAAAAGTTGCATATCGCGGGGGCTATTTGATGCTAATGCAGTACGCCACAGGATGTTTTTGTGCTGGTCAAGGGCAGTCAAGTCTGAGGAGAACCAGGGGCTATATCTGTTCTTAGTTCTGTATTTCTTGAATGGGGCATGTCTATTTAAGATTGAGAGGAAATTACTTTTAAAGAACAACCAGGCATCCTCTACTGACGGAATGAGATCTATATCCATCCAGGATACCTGGGCCAGGTCAATTAGGAAGGCCTGCTCGCTGAAGTGTTTTTGGGAGCGTTTGACAGTGATGAGGGGTGGTCGTTTGACCGCGGACCCGTTACGGACGCAGGCAATAAGGCAGTGATCGCTGAGATCCTGGTTGAAGACAGCGGAGGTGTATTTAGAGGGTAAGTTAGTCAGGATGATATCTATGAGGGTACCCATGTTTACGGATTTAGGGTTGTACCTGGTAGGTTCGTTGATAATTTGTGTGAGATTGAGGGCATCTAGTTTAGATTGTAGGATGGCCGGGGTGTTAAGCATATCCCAATTTAGGTCACCAAGCAGTACGAACTCTGAGGATAGATGGGGGGCGATCAATTCACATATGGTGTCCAGGGCACAGCTGGGGCCTGAGGGGGGTCTGTAGCAAGCGGCAACAGTGAGAGATTTATTTCTGGAAAGGTGGATTTAAGTGCCTTGCTCAAGGGCACATCGACAGATTTTTCACCTAGTCGGCTCGGGGATTAGAACCAGCGACCTTTCGGTTACTGGCACAACGCTCTTACCCACTACTACCTGCCGCCCTACATAAGTCTTTGATCACCTACCAACCAGTAAGAATTCCGGTCTCACAGACCTGTTAGTTTTTCTTTAAGAAGCCCTCCTGTTCTCCACTCATTACCTGTATTAACTGCACCTGTTTGAACTCGTTACCTGTATAAAAGACACCTGTCCACACACTCAATCAAACAGACTCCAACCTCTCCACAATGGCCAAGACCAGAGAGCTGTGTAAGGACATCAGGGATAAAATTGTAGACCAGCACAAGGCTGGGATGGGCTACAGGACAATAGGCAAGCAGCTTGGTGAGAAGGCAACAACTGTTGGCGCAATTATTCGAAAATGGAAGAAGTTCAAGATGACGGTCAATCACCCTCGGTCTGGGGCTCCATGCAAGATCTCACCTCGTGGGGCATCAATGGTCATGAGGAAGGTGAGGGATCAGCCCAGAACTACACGGCAGGACCTGGTCAATGACCTGAAGAGAGCTGGGACCACAGTCTCAAAGAAAACCATTAGTAACACACTACGCCGTCATGGATTAAAATCCTGCAGCGCACGCAAGGTCCCCATGCTCAAGCCAGCGCATGTCCAGGCCCATCTGAAGTTTGCCAGTGACCATCTGGATGATCCAGAGGAGGAATGGGAGAAGGTCATGTGGTCTGATGAGACAAAAATAGAGCTTTTTGGTCTAAACTCCACTCGCTGTGTTTGGAGGAAGAAGAAGGATGAGTACAACCCCAAGAACACCATCCCAACCGTGAAGCATGGAGGTGGAAACATCATTCTTTGGGGATGCTTTTCTGCAAAGGGGACAGGACGACTGCACCGTATTGAGGGGAGGATGGATGGGGCCATGTATCGCGAGACCTTGGCCAACAACCTCCTTTCCTCAGTAAGAGCATTGAAGATGGGTCGTGGCTGGGTCTTCCAGCATGACAACGTTCTGAAACACACAGCCAGGGCAACTAAGGAGTGGCTCCGTAAGAAGCATCTCAAGGTCCTGGAGTGGCCTAGCCAGTCTCCAGACCTGAACCCAATAGAAAATCTTTGGAGGGAGCTGAAAGTCCGTATTGCCCAGCGACAGCCCCGAAACCTGAAGGATCTGGAGAAGGTCTGTATGGAGGAGTGGGCCAAAATCCCTGCTGCAGTGTGTGCAAACCTGGTCAAGACCTACATGAAACATATGATCTCTGTAATTGCAAACAAAGGTTTCTGTACCAAATATTAAGTTCTGCTTTTCTGATGTATCAAATACTTATGTCATGCAATAAAATGCAAATTAATTACTTTAAAATCATACAATGTGATTTTCTGGATTTTTGTTTTAGATTCCGTCTCTCACAGTTGAAGTGTACCTATGATAAAAATTACAGACCTCTACATGCTTTGTAAGTAGGAAAACCTGCAAAATCGGCAGTGTATCAAATACTTGTTCTCCCCACTGCATGTTGGAGTTCCTCACCCTGTGGTGACACTGTGCAAAGGGGCTCTCCAGCAGCTGGTGACACACTGACTCTGCCTCCCTGCGCAGAGCAGAATCCCCTGTGACGTCACAGCTGTGGCCTAGCTCTGCTGCGTCGTTGCAACCCTGATAAACATGGAGGATGGGAGAACTACATTACCTAGAATGCCTAAAACAGCCAAAGCTCAAGTCTTTCTGAAGGCTCTACTGAGCCTCTACTGTATATATTTAGCCTAGTTTTCAGATGGTACTGTGCCTCAGTCTGATGGTCAGGCACTCGCCACGAGTTCCCAAAACTGGCAGCGTACTCAGATACCCTCCCAGTCACTGTGGTGAAGTCATCTGTGAGGACACAGGAAAGAGAGTTGAAGGACCACAGAGAAAAAGTCACTAGTGTTCCAACTTTTTCATAGCCTTACGATCAGTAAGGTGCGTTCAATACTCATGAAGGGAAGGAGATAAGGAAAGGAAGCTAGGAAGCCCATGTCTGGTCCCCTCACCGTCTGCGTTGTTGTTATAGACTCCACACAGCCCTCTGGTGGTGGCCAGGTGTTCTGCGGTGACAGTCAGGTACACGGTGTTGCCCATGTCGAACTTCACTCGCACCCCCAGACCGCTCTCCACAAACACAAAGTCCCCCAGCCAATGCACACTCACTCCTGTACACGGACACGATGAGGGGAGGGAAGGAAAGCAGAGAAAGTTGTCATCGTACATGCTAGCTAACAAAACAGGGGGTATTGTGTGAATGTGAATGTGAGCTTGCTTGGCAACAATTTCAGAATTGACAGGCAGAAGAAAAGGAATGGAGTAGGCAAGCATTTCAACTGTTCTGACTAGGGGATGTTTGAATTACCATTTTGAAAGAGCGGTTCTCCTTGAGGAACTAGCAATCCATTTAATGTTAGGTTCCTGAGGTGAACAGAAACCAGGTCTAATCCCAGCATCATCCTCAGTGCCTGGGAGAATGACAAATCAACAAACACACAAATACAGAGAAACATGTTAAATGGGTGGCAGAAATTGTGCATTTTTGTTCAAGCTCTACATTCTATAGCATCCACCAAGCTACTTTGTGGGAGAACACTCCACACATGGGCTATCACAGTGGAGAAACAAGAAGTAAAAGTCCAGCTCATCGGAAGCTACTGTACCTTGCTGCAGTCTCCTCGACCGTTACACACAGTGCTGATGTACACAGCCCATGTCCCATCTGTAGACGATGCTAGGACGTACGTACAGCTGCCCTGGAAATGGAAGTGCTTTCTGTCAAAGGTGCGATAGTGAGCCCCTCCCCAGCTCAGACAGGTGGCCGAGCCCTGGGGGTTCCGGGCGCTCCCCAAATTACCCCCCCGCACAAGGGGAGACGACTGGGAGTCTAAAGGGAGAGAAATTGAGAGAAATTAAGAGAAATGGATAGAGGAAAGGTCAATGGAGAGGTCAGTGTTGAATTGATGAATTATTTTTCATCTTCACATGTGAATCATTATGTTGACTCAAGGCAGCTCTTTGTCAAGGCCACACAGGAATAACTTCCTGTCTTTAACTGGCAGACATATTTATAACCAATCCCCTCTGGTAAAAGTTCCCAAGAACCTCAACATTTAACCCCACAAGAAAAACATCTGACAGTCTAGACCTCCTATTCCAAATGAGTGATCTGTATCAAGTACATTAGACATTCAAAGCCATTAGAGAATATAGAGTGGGGTTTTGTCCTCAATTAGACAACTGCCCTCTGTCAAATTCGACCACTAACAAATGTTGTCCTCAATCAGTGTAATATTATGAGTGGTAGAGAGGGTGGCGCTGTGGGGAGTGGTACAGCCCTACAGCACTGACCAGTCAGCAGGGTGTAGGTACAGGACAGGCAGGTCTGGTCAGACGCGTTCCTCCAGCTCAGGCCCCACAGGCTGCCACAGCACTGCTCCATGGGCATCAGAGAGGAGTTGTGCACCCCTGGGAAGTCCTCGCAGCTCCATGTGGAGTAGCACTGGCCCCGCACACCCACGCCTGGACCAGAGACAGGGGACAGTGTGAGAGAGAGAAAGAGAGCTAGTCAGACAGAATGATGAGGAAATATGTTAAATTCTTCTCAATATGCAGTCAATTTTTTACTCCCTCCTGTTGTCAAAAGTCTACTAATAGCCAGTGTGATCATTAAGATGGACACATATAGCATCAATAGAAAGTGAATGGTACTACTGTATAGTAAGTTGTTATTACCCTGTGAACAGCGCGGTCCTCCCCAGCCTTCGCAGCACCCCCTCACTGTCTTATTCACCCGCTGGGTCTCCATCTCAGGGGGTCTGCTCAAAACACATACAGTACATAGTATTACAAACTACACAAGGCAACACAAAATACACTCAATAACTTGCATCTTCATTTTGTTCTTATACATTCAAGTCATTGCAGCTTTCATATCATTATTTAACATTTTGGAGTCATAATACATTTTGGAGTCATAGTAATCAACTCCTCACTTGTATATGAAGCAGACAGCCTTGCGACCCAGTTGTTTGTAGTACAGTGCAATGCCGTCATCCCCCCCGTGCTTGTGGCGCATCCTGTCCACATCCAGCATCCAGTCCTGCGTGTTGAATTGGTACACCTTGGAACAGTCCACCTCACGCTGAAGACGGGGGGAAATGATCCGGTCCACTCTTTCCTCCACTGTGTGTTCACACCAGTGCCTGGAGTGGTGATAAACAACATGAAATTAAGTGAATAATATAATACAATAATAGATGCCATTTAGCAGACACTTTTATCCAAAGCGACAGAGTCATGAATGCATATATGTTTTTACATATGGGTGGTCCCGGGAATCGAACCCACCTTCCTGGCATTGCAAGCGCCATGCTTGTGCTTAGCTGGATGGTGTGCTTAGCTGGAAGGTCCAAGTAGAGTGTCTGCACCAGAGTCCAACAACACCTCTATTTCCTACATAGACTCAGAGTTTTCGGAGTTGACCAGAAAATAATGCTCCCTTTCTACAATGCGGTCATAGAGATTATCCTGAGATTCGGCATCACAGTCTGGCTTGGCAATTTATCAGTCCAACTAAAATCTCAGATTGCCCACCTGACACAAACTGCCATGAAGGTCATGGGTGTGAGGCGGCATCCCTCCCTGCAGACTATTTCTGAACAGACCGTTATCAGACAAGCACAGAAACTTATTTCAGACCCCTCCCATGTGCTTCACTCTGAGTAGGCTATCAGCTCCTCCCCTCAGGCAGACGCTATAGGGTCCCCACATGTAAACTGAACAGGAATTTACATTTTCTTTTTTACATTTTAGTAATTTAGCAGACGCTCATATCCAGAGCGGCAGTTAGTGAGTGCATACATTTTCATACTGGCCCCCCGTGGGAAACGAACCCACAACCCTGGCGTTGCAAGCGCCATGCTCTACCAACTGAGCTACACGGGGCCCTATAAGCATAATTCATTCCCATGTCCATCAAATACCTGAACAGCAATAAGTAATGCTGAGCTGTGTTAGTACGTCACTGACTGAATGTAAGGGAAATGTGCAATGTGTATTATGTATATGGCTATATGAGAAGTGGAGAATGTGTATATTGGGAAACGTGTGTTGTGGAAATTCTTACACAGGGACACTCAAAGTCAATCTTAAATGAATCATAGTTTATTTGTCAGTGTGCTGGAGAGGTTCTGTCACGGATGCTGCCGAGGCTGCTGCTCCTCCTCCTTGCTCGGGCAAGCTTCGGCGTTCGTCGTCCCCGGAGTACTAGCTACTACCGTTTGATGTTTTCGATGTTTGTTTTGTCATGTCTAGTTAGTGCACCTGTATTCTGTATTGATTATGTCACCTATAAGTTCCCCTATGTTATGTTTGTATTTTGTGTGTTATTGTCCGCCTGTCATGGATGTATAGGTTCGGTACCTTGGCTCTTCGTGTTGGTTTTACGCACTTGCGTATTTGTTTCGCCTCTAGTGTATTTTGAGGCCGTTTATTTTGTGTGTACCTTTCGAGGTTATAGTAAAGTCGTTTTGACTTATTCCTCTGTGTCCTGCGTTTGACTCCACCACCGCATCCACATCAGCATTCGTGACAGAATAACACACCAACTATGGAGTCAGCAGGAGCAGCGGCGGTGACCGAGTCACTGGAGGATCGGGTCAGCAGCCAGGACGCCATGATCCAGCGACTCGGCTCCGCCATGCAAGGCGTCATGGACACTCTGCGCCGATGGGAAAGAGAAGGCCTGCCCACACCTCCTCCTACCTTACCACCACCATCGGCCAGCCCCATCATACCAGCTCTGGAGTCCAGTGGTATTCGGCTCTCGCTCCCGAGGGCATATGATGGCACCGCAGCCGGGTGTCAGGGGTTCCTCCTTCAGGTGGAACTCTACCTGGCAACCATACACCCGGCGCCCTCGGGATACGAGAGCGTTTCCACCCTCATCTCCTGTCTCTCCGGCAAGGCCTTGGAGTGGGCCAATGCCGAATGGAGGGGAATAGACGCCGCCACCATCAGCTACGCGGAGTTCTCCCGCCGCTTCAGGGCTGTGTTTGATCACCCCCCAGAGGGTAAAGCGGCGGGGGAGCGTCTGTTCCACCTCCGACAGGGGAAGAGGAGCGCACAGGAGTTCGCCCTGGACTTCCGGACTCTAGCGGCGGATGCGGGGTGGAATGAGAGGGCCCTCATCGACCACTATCGGTGCAGCCTGCGAGAGGACGTTCGACGAGAGTTGGCCTGCAGGGACACCAATCTAACCTTCGACCAGTTGGTGGACATGTCAATCCGTCTGGATACCCTGCTGGCTACCCGCGGACGTCCGGAGTTGGGGCCGTCCATTCCATCCCCCAGCACCTCCGAGCCGAGCCCTATGAAGCTCGGGGGTGCTGGCGCTAGAGAGAAGAGGAGAGAGATCCGGAGGGAGGTCATCCCCTGCACCAACTGTGGCCGTAGAGGACACACTGAGGTTCGGTGCTGGGGAGGGCCTCCAGGGGATCGAGGCAACAGGGCATGCACTGGGGAGTCATTCCAGGTGAGTAGGCGCCCAACTCACCCAGAGCTCTCTGTTGTTCATCTGTGTATACCTGTAGTATTCCCCCAGGTTGCATCTCATTCCCAGCATAAGGCGCTAGTCGATTCAGGCGCAGCTGGGAATTGTATTGATCGTAAATGTTGTGTTAAGTTAGGGATTCCCCTCCTACCCGTAGATGTGCCTTTCCCTATTCATGCCCTAGATAGCCGTCCGTTGGGATCTGGTTTGATTAGGGAGGTCACAGCACCACTAAAGATTAAGGCGCAGGGGGGTCATGAAGAGATCATTCAGTTATATCTGATCGACTCTCCTGCGTATCCCGTGGTGTTGGGGCTTCCTTGGTTAATCACCCATGATCCCACCATTTTGTGGCAACAGAGGGCTCTCAAGGAGTGGTCTGACCAGTGTGTTGGGCGATGTCTACGTGTTTCCGTAGGGGCGACCACGGTGGAGAGTCCGAACCAATTGCCCGCATTGCACATTCCTCCTGAGTATGAGGATTTGGCACTCGTGTTCAGCAAGACTAGGGCGACGCGATTGCCACCTCATAGACAGGGGGATTGTGCAATAGACCTCCAGGCAGGCGCTGCACTTCCACGTAGTCATGTGTATCCTCTGTCTCAAGAGGAGAAGGTGGCTATGGAGACATACATAGCCGAGTCTCTGAGACAGGGATACATACGGCCATCCACTTCCCCTGCATCCTCAAGTTTCTTTTTTGTGAAGAAGAAGGATGGAGGGTTGCGCCCGTGTATTGATTACCGTAGTCTCAATCAGATCACTGTGAAATACAGGTATCCACTCCCTCTGATTGCGAGTATGACGGAATCATTACACGGAGCGCGTTTCTTCACAAAACTGGATCTCAGGAGCGCCTACAACTTGGTGCGCATTAGGGAGGGAGATGAATGGAAGACAGCATTTAGTACCACCTCGGGTCACTATGAGTATCTCGTCATGCCATACGGGTTAATGAATGCTCCTTCAGTCTTCCAATCCTTTGTGGACGAGATCTTCCGGGATTTGCATGGGCAGGGTGTAGTAATGTATATTGACGACATACTAGTTTACTCTTCTACACGAGCAGAGCATGTAGCCCTGGTGCGTCGAGTGTTGGGTAGGCTGTTGGAGCATGACTTGTATGTCAAGGCAGATAACTGTCTGTTTTTCCAGGAGTCCATCTCCTTCCTGGGCCATCGATTGTCCGCGTCAGGGGTGGAGATGGAGATTGACCGCGTTTCAGCCGTGCGTAATTGGCAGACTCCTACCACGGTTAAGGAAGTGCAGCGGTTTTTGGGTTTTGACAATTACTACCGGAGGTTTATCCGTGGTTTTGGACAGGTAGCAGCTCCCATCACCTCCCTGCTGAAGGGGGGCCCGGTGCGTTTGCAGTGGTCAGCTGAGGCGGACAGGTCGTTTGGTAAACTGAAGGACCTGTTCACCTCTGCTCCGGTGCTGGCGCATCCGGATCCCACTTTAGCGTTCCAGGTGGAGGTGGACGCGTCAGAGGCCGGTATTGGGGCTGTACTGTCTCAACGCTCAGGCACGCCCCCTAAACTCTGGCCCTGCACTTTTTACTCTAAGAAGCTCAGCCCGGCGGAACGTAATTATGACGTGGGGAACAGGGAGCTGCTAGCCGTGGTTCAAGCCCTAAAGGTGTGGAGGCATTGGCTTGAGGGGGCTCAACACCCTTTTCTCATTCTGACTGACCATCGTAACCTGGAGTACATCCGGGCAGCTAGGAGACTGAACCCTCGTCAGGCTAGGTGGACCATGTTTCTGGCCCGGTTTGTGTTTAAGCTCACTTACATCCCAGGGTCCCAGAACGGTAAGGCAGACGCCCTGTCCCGGCGATATGACACAGAGGAGAGGTCCATTGAGCCCACTCCCATACTGCCGGAGTCTTGTCTGGTGGCGCCGGTGGTGTGGGAGGTCGATACGGAAATCGAGCGGGCGTTACGCACTGACCCTACTCCTCCAGAGTGTCCAGTGGGGCGGACGTACGTTCCGCTCGAGATTCGGGATCGTCTCATATATTGGGCTCATACGTCACCCTCCTCTGGACATCCTGGTATTGGCCGGACAGTGCACTGTCTTATCGAAAACTACTGGTGGCCAACATTGGCTAAGGACGTGAGGGTTTATGTCTCCTCCTGCTCGGTGTGCGCTCAGTGTAAGGCGCCTAGACACCTGCCCAGGGGGAAGTTACAACCCCTTCCCGTTCCACAACGGCCGTGGTCTCACCTCTCGGTAGACTTTGTCACGGACCTTCCCCCCTCCCAGGGGAATACCACCTTTCTGGTCGTTGTGGATCGGTTCTCTAAAGCCTGTCGTCTCATCCCAATGCTGGGTCTCCCTACTGCCCTACAGACTGCTGAGGCTTTGTTTACCCACGTCTTCCGGCACTACGGGGTACCCGAGGATATAGTGTCTGATCGGGGTCCCCAATTCACCTCTAGAGTCTGGAGGGCGTTCATGGAACGCTTGGGGGTCTCGGTTAGCCTTACCTCGGGTTTCCACCCTGAGAGTAATGGGCAGGTGGAGAGAGTGAACCAGGATGTGGGTAGGTTTCTGAGATCATATTGCCAGGACCGGCAGGAGGAGTGGTCGGGGTATATCCCCTGGGCGGAGATTGCCCAGAATTCTCTTCGCCATTCCTCTACTAATCTGACCCCTTTCCAGTGTGTGTTGGGGTATCAGCCGGTTCTGGCACCATGGCATCAGAGCCAGATCGAGGCTCCTGCGGTGGATGAGTGGTTTCGGCGCTCGGAGGAGACATGGAACGCTGCGCATGTACATCTGCAGCGGGCTATCCGTAGGCAGAGGGCGAGCACCGATCTCCACCGCAGTGAGGGTCCAGTGTACGCACCTGGAGATCGAGTCTGGCTCTCGACTCAAAACCTGCCCCTTCGCCTGCCCTGCCGGAAGCTGGGTCGGCGGTTTGTGGGGCCATTTAAAGTCCTGAGGAGATTGAACGAGGTATGTTACAGGTTACAACTGCCTAATGATTATCACATTAACCCCTCGTTCCATGTGTCTCTCCTCAGGCCGGTGGTAGCTGGTCCACTCCAGGACAATGAGATACGGGAGACTCCTCCGCCCCCACTGGACATCGAGGGGGCTCCGGCGTACTCAGTCCGGTCCATCGTGGATTCGAGACGTCGGATGGGGGGTCTGCAGTATCTCGTGGAGTGGGAGGGGTACGGTCTGGAGGAACGGTGCTGGGTGCCTAGGAGGGACATTTTAGATCCCTCCCTCCTGACGGAGTTCTACCGGAGTCATCCCACGCGCCCTGCTCCGCGTCCTCCTGGCCGTCCCTGAGGCCGGGGCCGGCGCACGGCTGGAGCCGCGCGTCAAGGGGGGGGGGGGGTACTGTCACGGATGCCGCCGAGGCTGCTCCTCCTCCTTGCTCGGGCAGGCTTCGGCGTTCATCGTTCCCGGAGTACTAGCTACTACCGTTTGATGTTTTCGATGTTTGTTTTGTCATGTCTAGTTAGTGCACCTGTTTCGTATTCTGTATTGATTATGTCACCTATAAGTTCCCCTATGTTATGTTTGTATTTTGTGTGTTATTGTCCGCCTGTCATGGATGTATAGGTTCGGTACCTTGGCTCTTCGTGTTGGTTTTACGCACTTGCGTATTTGTTTCACCTCTAGTGTATTTTGAGGCCGTTTATTTTGTATGTACCTTTCGAGGTTATAGTAAAGTTGTTTTGACTTATTCCTCTGTGTCCTGCGTTTGACTCCACCACCGCATCCACATCAGCATTCGTGACAGGTTCCAACCAACTCAATGCACCATAGTACACATGTCTGTCAGAAGCTACCCTGGGGCAGTCCCAGCAGTTGTCTTATATACGGCTATATACAGACAAGTTGTATTTGCATGATTTAGCATAATTCATTAATCATTACCATTTTGTTTCATCCATGTGACCGACCAATACTGGTTCATAACATGTGACAGACCAATACCTCACGAGGCTTCTTCTCTCTAAGCTGAGACCTTGAAACTGAAATATCTTTCTCCTCACGTTCTAAAAACAAGGTCTGGGCGTACTGCCAAATTGCAGATACTGATAAGTGAGGATTCGTCCGATCAGTCACTTGCATGAACACAGAAATTGGTTATTAGAACAGCACATAAATAGAATATAGAAATGTATAGAATAGGAAAGCACCAACATTAAAATGTCCATCACACGTCCAATGTATGTATTATGTTGAGTGTGTAATGTACATTGTCTATTTTGTATACAGCAGAACTGGGTGTCTAAGACAATTTTCCCCTCGAGGACATTAAAGTTCATCCTATCCTATGCTCTATAATCTAAACTGTATATCCTATTGTTTACATGTCAGTTTATCACTTTGCTGTCACGATCGTCTTGAGAAGAAGCGGGCCAAGGCGCAGCGTGATATGCGTACATAATATTTATTGAATGTACAACACAACGAACAAAACAACAAACGATACGAAACGTGAAGTCCTACGGTTACACAAACCAAACAGAACAAGATACCACCAAACTCTGTGGCCAAACAGTCTGCCTAAGTATGGTTCCCAATCAGAGACAACAAGCAACAGCTGATTCACGTTGCCTCTGATTGAGAACCACACCGGCCAACATAGAAACAAATAACTAGATAAAGAACCTAGAAACAAAACACATAGAAACAACACACCCTGGCTCATCATAACAGAGTCCCAGAGCCAGGGCGTGACATTTGCATACTACCTTCTAATTATACTTTTTTATTAATTTAACTTTGTTATTATTTATTATTTTACTGCAATGTTGAGGGAGCTATCGCTCAAGCATTTCACTGCATCTTTTATACATGCTGATTTGTAAATATGATTAACTTGTCGGCAGAAAAACCCCTCGCAATAGATATATAGTTTAGCGGACCATAGAAATGCAATATAAAATGGCAGTGTTGGTGTTTCTTCAACTGTCCTCTTTGTATAGAATCTTTACAGACCATTCACAAACAGTTTGAGCACCTTGTTTACATTAAGCTATGATGTAAAGCTGCGCTTGAAATGTATGGAAAAACGTGCCAATACTCATTTTGGGTGATGGTACTGTTTATATTTAGGTGCCGGAACTCTGCAATACTTTTAAGCCAATATTCTACATGTATAAGAGGTGCCGGTACTCAAGCAGTACAAAATATGAGGACTATTCCGTCCCAAGTTAAGCACGGATGTAAAGTCATATAAATTGGGTTTCCTTTCTCTTAGACTCTACGGTGGTCAGTTCTTACCCCATCACCATCACCACACGCAGTCCAAGCAGAGACATCAGTAGAGCCCACATACTGCTCCCTCTCTCTGCTCTGTGATGCCTTGGAATAGACCTCTGAGGAAACAAATCTCTCAATATTTACACACATACAGGAGTAAAATGTTAAACTGTGGTTGTGCAACCCTTTATTATATTAAGTGACTAAGGCAACAAATAAATGTTTACATTGGCATAGGCAGAGATGGCACAGGTTACTCAAGAAAAATAAGATGTTTTAGGAGAATAATTTCACAACTGTGGATAAAATACAGCCAACTGAAGGCTATGAGTAGAATAATAGAATTCTCACCTGGATATAACTGGTTTTAGGTAGAGCTTGGCACTTCAATAACCTGTGGGTATTCCTTTGACTGTTGCTCCTAATACAGTATACCACTGATTTACTTCCCTTTCCTAGATCAAGGTATCTTCATTTTCTTTCTCTCTGTCAGGTCCTGAAAGTCTATCCTCAGTAAGGGGATCTGTTGCTTTATGAGCGGCGGGTGCCCCTGTCACAGGGTTATAAACGGCGTCTGATTCACGGAGGAGTACAGTGCCATCTGAGGAGCACGTCATTGGCCGAGAAGCCTGAGGGTCACAGCTGGGAGGGCCGCCATTGGCCACCAGACGGAAGTATGGTGACACTCGGGCCTCCTGCCTGTCCAACGGTACAGGACATAGCAGGATAGGGGCTGAGGGAGGAAGGAGGAGGAAGGAGGGGGAAGTGGGTGACAATGAGTGACACAGAGGGGGTACATAAAAAAAGAGAGACCTCATCCATGATAGAGGGATATGTTTGTGCTGGTTCTAATCCTATAAAGAGAGGCGTTTCGGGAAGGATGGCAGGGGCGTTTATTTAATAAAACATGTCAATGGCCGGGAGCCGGGGGGCTTTCAGCCCGGCCAATATCCCTGGCCTGACCCTTTGACCCCCAGAGAAAGGAGACACAAACACAGCTGCCACCAAAGCCCTGCCTGTCTGTAGCGCTCATCTGGAGCATGGCAGCCATTTTGGATCCATGCGCGGCCACAGCCCTTCAACTCACTTCACTAGTTACCAGAGAGAGAAAGAAATGAGTTAACTCTCAGACAGGGTTTCCATCGACTGTGATGAAATGCTTGATTCAGCTAGTTCCGGTACGAACTACTTTGTTTCCACAGAACATAAAGTAGATAAGACATCTATCTCCCAGTGTTATGTCCCACTGGGCTCACACTGGTTGAATCAACGTTGTTTCCACGTCATTTTATTGTTTTCACGTCATATCATGGGATATGTTCCAGGTAGCCTCTGTGAATAACATTGACGTATACATGGACACAGTGACTGAGTTCATCAGGAGGTGTATAGGGGATGTTGTTCCCAGTGTGACTATTAAAACATACCCAAAACAGAAACCGTGGATAGATGGCAGCATTAGCGCAAAACTGAAAGCGCGAACCACCGCATTGAACCATGGCAAGGTGACTTGGAATATGGTTGAATAAAAACAGTGTAGTTATTCCCTCCGTATGGCAATCTAACAGGCAAAATGTCAGTACAGAGACAAAGTGGAGTCGCAATTCAACAGCTCAGACACAAGACATATGTGGCAGGGTCTACAGACAATCACAGATTACAAAGGGAAAACCAGCCACACTGCGGACACCAACGTATTTCTCCTGGACAAGCCAAACACTTTCTTCACCCGCTTTGAGGTTAACACAGTGCCACCGACGCGGCCCGCTCCCAAGGACTGTGGGCTCTCGTTCTCCGTGGCCGAAGTGAGTAAGATATTTAAGCGTGTTAACCCTCGCAAGGCTGCCGGCCCAGACGGCATCCCTAGCCGCGTCCTCAGAGCATGCGCAGCACAGCTGGCTGGAGTGTTTATGGACATATTCAATCTCTCCCTATCCCAGTCTGCTGTCCACACTTGCTTCAAGATGTCCAACATTGTTCCTGTACCCAAGAAAGCAAATGTAACTGAACTAAATGACTATCGCCCTGTAGCACTCACCTCTGTCATCATGAAGTGCTTTGAGAGGCTAGTTAAGGATCATATCACCACTACTTTATCTGACACCCTAGACCCACTTCAATTTGCATACCGCCCCAATAGATCCACAGAAGATGCAATCGCCATCGCACTGCACACTGCCCTATCCCATCTGGACAAGAGGAATACCTATGTAAGAATGCTGTTCATTGACTATTGCTCAGCCTTCAACACCATAGTACCCTCCAAGCTCATCATTAAGCTTGGGGCCCTGGGTCTCAACCCCGCCCTGTGCAACTGGGTCCTGGACTTCCTGACGGGCCGCCCCCAGGTGGTGAAGGTAGGAAACAAGACCTCCACTTCGCTGATCCTCAACACAGGGGCCCCACAAAGGTGCGTGCTCAGCCCCCTCCTGTACTCCCTGTTCACCCATGACTGCGTGGCCACGCACGCCTCCAACTCAATCATCAATTTTGCAGATGACACAACAGTAGTAGGCCTGATTACCAACAATCATGAGTCAGCCTACAGGGAGGAGGTGAGGGCCCTGGTGTAGTGGACTTCAGGAAACAGCAGAGGGAGGATCCCCCCATCCACATCAACGGGACCGCAGTGGAGAAGGTGAAAAGCTTCAAGTTCCTCAGCGTACACATCACTGACAATCTGAAATGGTCCACCCACACAGACAGTGTGGTGAAGAAGGCGCAACAGCTCCTCTTCAACCTCAGGAGGCTGAAGAAATGTGGCTTGGCCCCTTCACAAACTTTTACAGATGCACAATATGAGCATCCTGTCGGGCTGTATCACCGCCTGGTACGGCAACTGCACCGCCCGCAACCACAGGGCTCTCCAGAGGTTGGTGTGGTCTGCCCAACGCATCACCGGGGGCACACTGCCTGTCCTCCAGGACACCTACAGCACTCATCATGGACATCAACCACTCGGCCTGTTCACCCTGCTACCATCCAGAAGGCGAGGTCAGTACAGGTGCATCAAACCTGGGACAGAGAGACTGAAAAGAAGCTTCTATCTCAAGGCCATCAGACTGTTAAATAGCCATCACTAGCCGGCTACCACCCGGTTACTCAACCCTGCACCATAGACATGGAATCACTGGTCACTTTAATAATGGAACACTAGTCACTTTAATAATGTTTACATACTGCTTTACTCATTTCATATGTATATACTGTATTCTATTCTACTGTATTTTAGTCTGACATTGCTCGTCCTAATTTATATATTTCTTAATTCAATTTATGTACTTTTAGATTTGTGTGTATTGTTGTGAATTGTTAGATACTACTGCACTGTTGGAGCTAGGAACACAAGCTTTTCGCTACACCCGCAATAACATCTGCTAAATATGTGTATGTGACCAATCAAATTAGATTTGATTTGATTTCCACGTCATTTCATTTTCACTGTACAGGCCACTATGATTTATTTTTCATTCACAGTGATCCCTACCCCAATGACTTCTGTTTATAAATTACTCATTTGGACTTCTATTATTCTCAGATATAATCGATATTATAAAGGACATTATTACCACAGAGGGTTTATTGCATGCCGTGAAACAGTAATAGAAATACAGTCTCTTCCAAGACATTACTACAGTTGGTCAGCAGAGAGAATCGAATGATCAAAGTTATACAAAGGGTGGGTCTAATCCTGAATGCAGATTAGTTAAAACCGCATTCCAGCCGGTGTCTATTCCACAAGTTACCACCAGCTAAATCTAGGATGTTAAAATGCATATTTACTCTGTTCCATCTGACTCATCATCCCTGTCAAGCAATTTATCAACTTGATCTCCACTATAAAAAGCATCTAGACATTATCTCACATTTCTTTTAGACTAACATTTAGTTTTCAACAGTGGAGATTTATATAATCCTTGCTGTCTGTCTCTCCGACATTTGCAACATTGTTTCAACATTCAAATTTGATCTCCAGCTGTCCCAGAGTAATGAATGTGTCGGGAGTCGGGACGAGACAGACAGTCAGGCAGCGTTTCTCAGCCAGTCGAAATCATGAATCAGCTGGCATAATTTTTATGGATATATACATAAAAATGTACATTGAAAAACGTAAAACCAAACAAAGTGCAGTTAGTTTGCAGTCTTTCCAGCTTCAGTTTGAAGTGATTGTGTTAGCTGTGTTGTTGGCTAGCTCCTCTGAACAACAGTGTCCTGACGAGTGAGCAAATGTTCTATGCCAGGCAAAATCGCGCCTCTTTAGCTCATTGTTATGGATGTATCCCAATAAATGTCACTAGAAAACAGCTTAAACAAATGCAAATGCGGCTACTTTGCTGTTATTCTGGCTGCGCTTTTTGGCGTGACTGGTAGTTAGCCGTAGTTGGCTAGTAAGCAAGGGATAAGAATGTTGCCAGCCAGTATGGCAATGGAACATTTAGAACGAACGACTGGGTCGTGTCCATAGATACAGAACAAAAAGACTAAACGACTGGGTCGTGTCTCTAGCAACCGAACCAATAGAACGAACGACCAGCTGGTTTGGGTAGCAACCCTATATTTGTGTCGGGACTATATCTTGTGGAAGGATGAAATAGTGTGAATAAATTCTTCAAAATAATGTTTTTAATGAAAATATGTCCATCATTATTTGAATATGGACAAAAAAATGCTTTTCTTTCGAAAACAAGGACATTTCTAAGTGACCTCAAACTTTTGAACAGTAGTGTAAATCGTCAAAATCTTCATTTTTGAGTAGTTTCGAGGAGGATTTTAGCATTTTAACAAACCCTAACTCTAACCATGTTCCTAACCTTAATGTAATTATCCTAACCTGCTATGTTAATCATCCTAACCTGCTGCATATGTTTTCCTAACCTGCTACGAAAAGTCAATTCTGTTCATAGCTGTATAGTCCTCACCATAATGAGGGGGCCCGTGATGGCAAGTTCACAAAGTCATGCAACGCTATAACTTACAAAAGCAAAACTAGGTATGTAAATACTAGTTTGGTGCCAATCCAGGCACCAATAAACACTGCAAACACATACTGTGCCGTATAATGGCATGTCAATTCTATAGACACTGATAATCTTGTATTTTCCTCCACGGACTGAAGTTGCAAATTACTTTGAGGACTTCATATGATGTCCACAGGTTTTCTATGAGATAAGTATAGGGTTAGAGTAGATGTGTTGCTGAGGAACAGAGACAACACAGTGTGCTCCCCTGGATGGTTTTCTAGAAGGTATAGGATGCTGTATGTTTGTGTTCACCAATATCATGTTGGCAATATCTTGCATGATTCTTTAGGAGTAATATGCACATCCTTTGAAACCTTTCAGGGCTAGGTAGACTGACCAGTTCAAAGTAAACAGAAAAACTGGCACAATGTTGTATGTGTCCAGGAGATTTACAATACCAAAGCATTTCCCTGTGGGTGGGGAGTACCATAAAATAGACAGATTAATTTCCTTTGGGGGGACTCACCTATTGTGGGTCAAATAATCCCTTATGCGCTTACAGTGAAAATTACTTTCATTTTCCAGACTCCGTATGAGAAATATATTATTTCAGACCTCCTGTGTGTTAGGGGAACATTACTCATGTGCACTGAACCACTATCTTCTGTCAGGATAAATAGTTGACCCATTAAGTAAATTGTCAGCATACTACACTAATCAAATCATTTCAAAACCTCTTGTTGCTCAAATTGTCTGCAAGCCACTCTCAATGCAGATGTGTGGGATTAATGATCTATACAATAGACCTGAGATTTCAACACTTTTACAACCCCTCGGTGACCAATCCTGTTCCGTCGCTGCCAAGTTGAAGGTTCAATATAAGCAGCTGCTCATTGAGCCCTGTTTTCATACTACGTCTCTTCCATTGGAACTGCAAAGGGAAGGATACAACTGCTTGGGCTGTTCTGGTTCTGGACAAAGGAACATTGTTTCACTCAGGGCTGGAAACAGGAGTACCCTTCAACGTTTGAAGTGCATACCGTAGGTAGGTCAGTTTCTTTGTTACAAAGGCGTGCATTGCCAACAGTGCTCTGATTTGCATGCTTTTCGTGTTCTGCCTCATTGCAGCACATCCCAATATTACATAAATAGGGTTACATAAGCATGTTATAAAATCAAACTGTTTGAAAGAGGCAATCTGTAACACATAAGTCCCAGATTCAAGTGAGGACCCATTGGTGTGCTGCTGAGAACAGAACAGACTTGGCAGGTGTCGATACACTTGCAATATAAACAGAGAGGGGCGGAAAGGAAACATTGTCCGAAGATCCCCACTGCATGGAAACTAATCCATACTGTTAGAAGACCAGAGGGAGTAGAAAGAAGAGTGGTAAAGAAAGGGGGAGGAGGGGGAGCATGAGAAGGAAGAGGTTTGCTTTTCCAGCTGTGGAGAGAACGGGGGGTGGGGGGAAGAGAACGGGAGGTGGGGGGAAGAGAATGGGGGGAAGCAGACCGGGGGGTGGGGGGGGAAGAGAACGGGGTGGGGGAAGAGAACGGGTGGGGGAAGAGAATGGGGGGTGGGGGGACGAGAACCGGGGTGGGGGAAGAGAAGCAGGAGGTGGGGTGAAGAAACGGGTAGGTGGGGAGAGATCGGGAGTGGAGGAAAAGAACGGAGTGGGGGGATAGAACGGGGTGGGGGGAGACGGGGGGTGGCTTGGAAGAGAATCGGGGGTGGGGAAGAGAAGGGGGGGGGTGGGGAACGGGATAACGGGAGGGGGGGAAGAAGGGTGGTGGGGAAGGGGCGGGGGGAAGAGACGTATGGGGGGAGAACGGGGGTTGGGGAAGAGAAGTGGGAAGAGAACGGGAGGTGAGAGAAGGGAGGGGGAGAGAAAGGGGGGGGGGGGAAGAAAACGGGGTGGGGGGAAGAGAACGGGGGTGGAGGACGAGAACGGTGGGTGGGGAAGAGAAGCGGGGGTGGCGGAGGGGGGGAGGGAGAACGGGAGTGGAGGAAGAGAACGGGAAGTGGAGGGAAGAGAACGGGGGGTGGGGGAAGAGAACAAGGGTGGGGAAGAGAACGGGGGGTGGGGGGAAGAGAACGGGGGTGGGGGGAAGAGAACGGAAGGTGGGGGGAAGATAACGGGGGTGGGGGGGAAGAGAACGGGGGGTGGGGGGAAGAGAACGGGAGGTGGGGGGAAGAGAACGGGGGGTGCGGGGAAGATAATGGGGGTGGGGGGAATGTGTCCCAATCTGGATGCCAGATATGCTACAGTACAGTCATGGTCAAAAGTTTTGAGAATGACACAAGTATTGGTCTTCACAAAGTTCGCTGCTTCAGTGTTATGAGATATTTTTGTCAGATGTTTCTATGGTATACTGAAGTATAATTACAAGCATTCCATAAGTGTCAAAGGCTTTTATTGACAATTACATTAAGTTTATGCAAAGAGTCAATATTTGCAGTGTTGACCCTTCTTTTTCAAGACCTCTGCAATCCGCCCTGGCATGCTGTCAATTAACTTCTGGGGCACATCCTGACAGGTGGCAGCCTATTCTTGCATAATCAATGCTTGGAGTTTGTCAGAATTTGTGGGGTTTTGTTTGTCCACCCGCCTCTTGAGGATCGACCACAAGTTCTCAATGGGATTAAGGTCTGGGGAGTTTCCTGGCCATGGACCCAAAATGTTGATGTTTTGTTCCCCGAGCCACTTAGTTATCACTTTTGCCTTATGGCAAGGTGCTCCATCATGCTGGAAAAGGCATTGGTCGTCACCAAACTGTTCTTGGATGGTTGGGAGAAGTTGCTCTCGGAGGATGTGTTGGTACCATTCTTTATTCATGGCTGTGTTCTTAGGCATAATTGTGAGTGAGCCCCACACATGAATGGTCTCAGGATGCTTTACTGTTGGCATGTCACAGGACTGATGGTAGCACTCACCTTGTCTTCTCCGGACAAGGTGTTTTCCGGATGCCCCAAACAATCGGAAAGGGGATTCATCAGAGAAAATGACTTTACCCCAGTCCGCAGCAGTCAAATCCCTGTACCTTTTTCAGAATATCAGTCTGTCCCTGCTGTTTTTCCTGGAGAGAAGTGGCTTCTTTGCTGCCCTTCTTGACACCAGGCCATCCTCCAAAAGTATTCGCCTCACTGTGCGTGCAGATGCACTCACACCTGCCTGCTGCTATTACTGAGCAAGCTCTGCACTGGTGGTGCCCCGATCCCGCAGCTGAATCAACTTTAGGAGACGGTCCTGGCACTTGCTGGACTTTCTTGGGCCCCCTACGCCTTCTTCACAACAATTGAACCTCTCTCCTTGAAGTTCTTGATGATCCGATACATGGTTGATTTAGGTGCAATCTTACTAGCAGCAATATCCTTGCCTGTGAAGCCCTTTTTGTGCAAAACAATGATGACGGCACGTGTTTCCTTGCAGGTAACCATGGTTAACAGAGGAAGAACAATGATTTCAAGCACCACCTTCCTTTTAAAGCTTCCAGTCTGTTATTCTAACTCAATCAGCATGACAGAGTGATCTCCAGCCGTGTCCTTGTCAACACTCTCACCTGTGTTAACGAGATATTCACTGACATGATGGCAGCTGGTCCTTTTGTGGCAGTGCTGAAATGCAGTGGAAATGTTTTTTGGGGGATTAAGTTCATTTTCATGGCAAAGAGGGACTTTGCAATTAATTGCAATTCAACTGATCACTCTTCATGACATTCTGGAGTATATGCAAATTGCCATCATCAAAACTGAGGCAGCAGATTTTGTGAAAATTAGTATTTGTGTCATTTTCAAAACTTTTGACCACGACTGTATGTATGTTTCTCTTTTCAGCACTGGAGGAAATGGAGGATGCACGCTATAAGATCAGTGTAGGGTTTACTCAAGCGTTTTTATTAGATAAGCGTCAGACTCAATAACTCAAGTGCAAGGGTCATTTCAACAGGAAGAATTGGGTTGTCGGTGACTATAAGAGCACGTTCTCCAATACTTCCTGACCGTCTTCTCTACTTGTTGTGTCTCCATAGACATGGCCATGAGGTGCTGCTGTCTGCTGGTGCTGCTGGTTGCTCTGGGAGTATGTGAAGCCTCTCGTAGCCAGGAGTGGGCTCACCACGGAGCCTCCATGTTCGCCGACCTGACCCCCCGAGAGATGCGCAACGTCCGGGACTACCTGCAAGGCAAGCCAGAGCTGGGTCTGACAGCGGCCCGGGGCAAGGACCTGAAGAAGAACAGCATCCTGCTAATGGAGCTCCACCTGCCTCGCAAGCACGAGGCCCTGAGGGCCCTGGACCGGGGCCAGGCCAAGCCCACACGCCAGGCCAGGGTGGTGGTGCAGTTTGGGAACCAGGCCCAGCCCAACATCACTGAGTTCATTGTGAGTCCACTGCCATTCCCTACTTCGTACACAGGGAAGACTTTCAAGGGAGACCGGCCCATTCGGTTTGAGTCGCGACCCATCACAGTGGCGGAGTACTCGCACATCATAGACATCTTGCAGAAGATTACCGCCAAAGTCCACAAGGTCCTGTTTGAGACCACGGGCGGATTTTCCTTCCACAACTGCACCGACCGCTGCCTGACGTTTTCGGACATCGCGCCCCGTGGTTTGGAGTCGGGCGAGAGGAGGACCTGGATCATGCTGCAGAAGTTCGTGGAGGGCTACTTCATCCACCCTGTGGGCTTTGAGGTCCTGGTGAACCATAAAGATCTGGACCCCGAGCGCTGGACGGTGGAGAAGGTGTGGTACAACGGCCAGTACTTTGACAACGTGGAGGAACTGGCGGAGCGATATGAGAAGGGAACGCTGGAGAAGGTCCAGCTTCCTGACCATGACGATGAAGACTTGTACTCCACTTACATTCCCCGTGGGCACAGCAACACACGCACCAACATTCACGGGCCCAAGCTGGTGGAGCCCCAAGGCCCTCGCTACCACGTGGATGGGAACTTTGTGGAATACGCCGGCTGGTCCTTTGCCTTCCGTGTCCGCTCGTCCGCCGGTCTCCAGATCTTCGACCTGCGCTTCAATGGAGAGCGCATCGCCTACGAGGTCAGTCTCCAGGAGGCCATCGCTTTCTATTCGGGTGACACCCCCGCCGCCATGCAGACCAAATACATTGACGCCGGCTGGGCCATGGGCACCGTGGACTACGAGCTGGCGCCTGGCATCGACTGCCCTGAAATCGCAACCTTTCTAGACCTGCACCATTACTACGACACGGACAAGCCCATGCGCTACAAGAACGCCTTGTGTGTGTTTGAAATGACCACGGGGATGCCTCTGAGGAGGCACTTCAACAGTAACTTCCAGGGGGGTTACAACTTCTTCGGGGGTCTGGAGAACCACGTGCTGGTGCTTCGTACCACCTCCACCGTCTATAACTACGATTACATCTGGGACTTCCTCTTCTACCAGAACGGAGTGATGGAGTCCAGGGTTAGTGCCACCGGTTACATCCATGCCACCTTCTTTACGCCTAACGGACTGCACTACGGCTCTAAGGTGTATAACTACGTATTGGGAAACCTGCACACTCATCTCATCCACTACAAGGTTGACCTTGATATTGCCGGTGAGTTCTGTTTTAATAATCTGGTAGCGTGGTCACACTTCTAGGGAAGTAGATTCTAAAATGTATTTTAGACCTTTGGTCAAACATTGCATTATAACTGATGCTCCTAGATAGTTTATGAGTGTTGCTCCCAGCCAAATACAATAACATGAGATTGTCAGCCATTTTGATGAATCATTGACAAGAAACACAAAATAAGCTCTCATTTCCGTGCCATGGGCAATACAATTGATAAATCACACATGAAATGGTATGCCTAGTCTGTGCAATATCTGCTGCAGAACTTGACATTAGTGCTAAGGTCAACTGCATTTCAAATCAACAAATGCCAATAAAGGGAGGTTTTAATTGAACTAACACTAATTGAACTTCCATTCTTCTTTGGACTTGCTGAATTGAAATTGAATTAATTGCAAACCTCAAGCCTTCTTGATCCCAACCCTGCTTGACACCGTTAACATACTGAACAAAAATATAAACGCAACAAGCAACAATTTCAAAGATTTTACTGAGTTACAGTTCATAGAAGGAAATCAGTCAATTGAAATAAATTCATTAGGCCCTAATCTATGGATTTCACATGACTGGGCAGGGGCGCAGCCATGGGTGGGCCTGGGAGGGCATAGGCCCACCCACTTGGGAGCCAGGCCCACCCACTGGGCAGCCAGGCCCAGCCAATCAGAATTAGTTTTTTCCCACAAAAAGGCTTTATTACAGACAGAAAGAAATACTCCTCAGCAGCACCCCCCTTCTTGATATGCCACACCTGTCAGGTGGATGGATTATCTTGGCAAAGGAGAAATGCTCACTAACAGGGATGTAAACAAATTTGTGCACACCATTTGAGAGAAATAAGCTCTTTGTGCGTATGGAACATTTCGGGGATCTTTGATTTCAGTTCATGAAACATGGGACCAACACTTTACATTTTACGTTTATATTTTTGTTCAGTATTTGATTGCTTTTGTCAAATGGTCCAGGTCGGGAGAACAGCTTTGAGTCGATGGACCTGAAGTACGTGAACTTCACCAACCCGTGGAGCCATAAACATTCCGTCGTCCAATCCAAGCTCATCAAGACGCAACACCAAACAGAACGCAGCGCAGCCTTCCGATTCGGCAAGAAGTTCCCTCGCTACGTGCACTTCTACAACCCCAATGAGAAGAACAAGTGGGGTCACCAGAAGGGGTACCGCATCCAGTACAACTCCCACGCCAACAGTGTGCTGCCCCGTGGCTGGAGAGAGGAGAACGGCATCAGCTGGTCCAGGTAACAGCACACACAGCTAGTTTAAGGGATAGTTCACCCTAAAATTGAATCAAATGTTACTTTTGACACATCAGAAGAGGTCTAAAGTCAACCTCAGTTAATTCCACTCCATCTCCCGCTGTAGACCGCAACCCAAAATGAATGGGAAAGATTGGCACCATCTAATTATATGGTAGGGTAGTAGGGGTACTATCCATTAAACCCTAACATAAAATAATGAATAAAGCGTACAGGTACCATGAACTACATACAGTCATTCCATGATAATCCAGAGAATATGGGAAACTACCTACCTACCCACCCACCCACCCACCCACCTACCTACCTATCTATCTATCTATCTATCTATCTATCTATCTATCTATCTATCTATCTATCTATCTATCTATCTATCTATCTATCTATCTATCTATCTATCTATCTATCTATCTATCTATCTATCTATCTATCTATCTATCTATCTATCTATCTATCTATCTATCTATCTATCTAATCATCTACTGTCAGAAAGTTCTGATTCAGTCTATCTAAGTGCAGTACATATGATCTGTATTAGTGAGAGTGATAATGGATTACTTTTCCTCTGTAGATACCCGTTGGCTGTGACCAGGCACAAGGACAGTGAGCCCACCAGCAGTAGTATCTACACTCAGAACGACCCCTGGGAGCCTGTGGTCTCCTTTGAGGACTACATCCGCAACAATGAAAATATCACCAACCAGGTGAGACCTGCTGCTATCAATAACACAACTCATTATCAGACTCTTCTCAACCCTGGATTACATAACTGTGTATAATTCCTTACTTACACAGGTTACGGAATTGTATAACTCAATAATAAATCCAATCAATCAATTCATCAATCAACCTGACAATGTCTCTTGTGTAGGACCTGGTTGCCTGGGTGACAGTGGGCTTCTTGCACGTGCCCCACTCGGAGGACATCCCCAATACGGCGACGCCCGGCAACGCTGTGGGCTTCTTCCTGCGCCCCTTCAACTTCTTCGATGAGGACCCCTCTCTGTCATCCCGTAGTACCGTCATTGTCCGGCCAGATAAAGAGGGCAAGCCCAAGGTCCAGAGATGGACCCCAGAGGTCGTAGGTCACTGTGTGACTGACAAGCCTTTCTTCTACAACGGCACCTATGCAGGAGTCTGAGGGACTGGTGTGAGTGACAGGAAAGACACAAAATGGTGGTTCCATCCTTGGGTCTGAGTGGTGCCAAATTAATGTGAGCTGACATTTAAATCTTGACTCCGACATTTAACTTAAAATTCAGTTCAATGCAAAAGAATGCATTCGGACACAGGCATTAACAAAAGTAACATTATGTTGATATCTTACCTGAACCTGTTGAAATGTGAAAGAATAAGAATATTTGGTATTTTTTGTCGTATTACGTTTTCTTTTGAGTACGCAAATTGATTGAAGCAACTTACCATTCTTATCCATAGGCACATTTCAATAGAAATCCTCTATAATCATAACTCACAGACACGCGTTGCCATGTGTATACTCATGTATCCGACCTAGATCTAGCAGAATGATGGTTTTCCTTTTTACTGTGGTTGTCATGCTAACCTTATTGTGTGTGAGGCCTGGGGGTCAAAGCACTCAGAATCCCGTTGGGTGAGGGTCTCCATGGACGGGGTTTAGTTGCTCTGAGCATCCAGGATGCAGGATGCCGGGATCAGCCACTGTCCGCTAGGCTCCTGGATCCCAGCAGGCCTGCATGGGGAAAACGACTGGGCCTATGTTAGCTGAGCAAACAGGCAGATCCTGAACTGCCCCATAAACAGTCAAGGATTCACCTGCACCATTGTCCGGGGCAACCAACTGCCCCCATGCAACATGCAGAGAGCGAACCGATAGAACATTCTAGAATGTTCTACAACTCAGTTTGCCCTCCATATGTTTTATCTTTGGGACAGTTTTCCTTTCAGGTACTCCTGACTACTTTCAATTAGATACAATAAAGACCTAACTGGATTAAATCAAATGGTATAACATTTGGGTTGTATCGCTTCTTTTCAATTGGGTGTTTTTGATCAGATTGATTGACTTGACTGTGTATTCTCAAACTGTACTAGCGCACTGGAATTTGGAAATGACATTAAAAGTGGGGAAAGTGTTAGTCTTCAAGCATTGACGACAGCAGTCACTTGTGTAGCTGTACAATCAGACAAAAAGCAAATATTCAACATCAGCAATGTGAAAAGCAGGCTTCAGGAACCTAAGCCAACAATTGTTGTCTATGGCATTTTACAATCAGAACCTTATAAAAGTGTGTGCCGACATTTTGCGGTATATGGTAAAAACGGGTACCATTAGAGTCATGCAAGCAGTAGGAAGAGACGACAGGAGAGGACAAAAAAAAGCAGGGGAGGACAGATTATTTTAGAAGATGGGGTAAAAAGGGAGGGGGCTTTAGGGTAACTGGCATTCCTATGGTTTGCCATAGTAATGATGGTCTCTGTGTTATAATGAACAAACTGTAGGGAAGAAAACAGTGTCAAGACTCACAGTGGGAAACCAATCAATACTGGCCTGTGACTAATACAGGAAATCACACAGTGGTTAGCTATATGGGGTATTTCACCTGTTCTTCCCGGTTAGACTTGGCCTGGAAGAGTCAACAAACGTCTCCTACTCTTGATTCTTTCCTCTGTCCTTGCTCATGCAAGAGAATAGAAAAACAGATTGATGAAGGTTGTAAAAGGTACAAAAAAACAGCAGTAAGGACCTTGGTGAGTAAGAGGGCCAGTGCATGCAAGGACAGTGCAGAGTGGGAAATGATGTTTGAGTATCACTGTGTCAAGTGTTTAACCTAGTTAAAACACCTCCCTGAAGCACAAAAAGTACCAAATGCCAACCATCTTAGATAAGCATAATCAACCTTAGCAGTGAGGTTCCCTGATGAAGGTTACTCCTTTACTCCACAACCTACGCACCTGAACTGGTAAATACTAAGGCTAATATAGATTGTGACATTGATTTGACCAGTTTTATAGCCATAAGGCTAAGCTGTAAGGGATGAACGCAAACATGAGGTTGTAAAGGACTGAAAACTCTACCCTCAGATCAATGCCACAGTATTCTAAGTTACATAAATATGACCATGTGTTCCGCAATAGAGTAAAAACCAGGGGAGTCTGCTGAGGGGAGGATGGCTCATGATAATGGCTGGAACGGAGCGAATGGCATCAAACACATGATTTCCATGTATTTGATACCATTGCAATTATTCCATTCCAATTGCTACCACGAGCCCATCCTCCCTCATTAAGGTGCCACCAACCTCCTGTGGTAAAAACATAGTGCTACTCATAGGCTTTATGCAATCTTATATGTTTGCAGGGCAAAACAATACTAAAGCAGTCTGTTGATTTAAAAAAACCTCAATATCAGTCTCACTGACTCTCAAAGTGGTTGGTGGTCAGGAACATGTCTGTGTAGGTGTAGCCTCTGCTGAGTCCCTAACAACCAGATCGGTTTTCAGGGGAAATAGAAAAAGACCCTGTGACGCGACTTCTGCTTTTGGACGTTACAAGGCGACACTCGTCCTAACTCCTTCACCAAATGTACTGGATTGGTTGAACAGTGCAGAAGAGAACCTCCACGGACAGTTTTTTTTCTTCTCATCAAGACCAGTATGTAGGGATCTAGTTGCAGGCGTTACTTTTACGCATACTATGTTAGGTTAGTGTAGTGTAGCTGTGAAGGGAAGATGTGAGTAGCTACTGCCATCTAGTGGTTAGATGACTAACTACTTTCATTTCTGCCTTAAATACTTACTGTATATGACAACTAGAAGAGGTAAATGTAGGCCTGTATGGTCCTCACAACACTTAAAGCAAACACATCTCCCATGTTTCACTGTCATGGATACCGCATATTGGACATCTCACTACAGCAACCAGAAATATTTGTATACTTAGTCAATGCCTAACCAAGGTTGTTGCGGTCACATGATCAAAGCTCTTACAGTACAACGTGTTAGGTTTATGATCTTTCAGTGCGGCCTGACTGTAGCTCTGTTGCTGATTCAGCTTGAGACTGAACAGGGCAAATTTCCATCTCCCTTATAATTCCTCCAGGATACAAATAGATGTACCTCTCTTCCCTGTCTCGCATAGGAAGCCAGTCTAACAAAATCCTGGGTAAACTGTGTTTACTTGTGTTTAACCTCCACTACGCTTAGCCTCACACATCACGGTTTAGTGGAAAACAGTCTTAGACAGCTTGAGGGAAGCATTCTCATCACACTCAAGAGTTGAGTCAAAGTCTAGAATAGGTTCCTGTTTATTTAAGCAACACTTTATCTGTCAATATGACTCACACATGGAAGTCCCATATACACTACCGTTCAAAAAATGTGGGGTCACTTAGAAATGTCCTTGTTTTCGAAAGAAAAGCAATATTTTTGTCCATTAAAATAACGTCAAATTGATCAGAAATACAGTGTAGACATTGTTAATGTTGTAAATGGCTATTGTAGCTGGAAACTGCTGATTTTTAATGGAATATCTACATAGGCGTACAGAGGACCATTATCAGCAACCATCAGTCCTGTGTTCCATGGCCTTCTTGAGACTAGTTGAGTATTTGGAGCGTCAGCAATTGTAGGTTCGATTACAGACTCAAAATGACCAGAAACAAATAACTTTCTTCTGAAACTCGTCATTCTTGTTCTGAGAAATGAAGGCTATTCCATGCTAGAAATTGCCAAGAAACTGAAGATCTCGTACAACGCTGTGTACTACTCCCTTCACAGAACAGCGCAAACTGGCTCTAACCAGAATAAAAGAGGAGTGGGAGGCCCTGGTACACAACTGAGCAAGAGGACAAATACATTAGAGTGTATAGTTTGAGAAACAGGCACCTCACAGGTCCTCTACTGACAGCTTCATTAAATAGTACCCGCAAAACACCAGTCTCAACGTCAACAGATACTCAACTAGATACTCAACTAGTCTCAAGAAGGCAAGTTTTATTGCTTCTTAATCAGCACAACAGTTTTCAGCTGTGCTAACATAATTGCAAAAGGGTTTTCTAATGATCAATTAGCCTTTTAAAATGATAAACTTGGATTAGCAAACACAACGTGCCATTGGAACACAGGACTGATGGTTGCTGATAATGGGTCTCTGTACGCCTATGTAGATATTCCATAAAGAATCAGCCGTTTCCAGCTACAATAGCCATTTACAACATTAACAATGTCTAAACTGTATTTCTGATCAATTTGATGTTATTTTTATGGACAAAAAAAATGCTTTTCTTTTGAAAACAAGGACATTTCTAAGTGACCCCAAACTTTTGAACGGTAGTGTATGTCTGAATGGTGAGCAACAGTAGCGTAACATATCCTCATGGAAACCATTCAACAACAATCAACACCACCGTAGGACATTAACCAGTGACACACGTTTTCCACAAGTCTAGGGTTATTATCAGAATGTAGACATGGTAGGTTCCTTTGACTGTAGATGTGGGGGTGTTCACTTTGCTGTAAGTGTGAGAATGGTTTATTTTCTTATGAAGGTGAGATAATACCTGTTGAGACTATCAAATTACACCTTTTTGTGAACCACACAGGAGGGCAAACCTTGGGCCTGGCAAAAGATGAAAACTGCACAGTCATTCGGGAACAAAGGTTTCATATTTAACATTGATTTGCAGAATCATAAACGGTTCACTAATACGTTTGTCTAAACAGGAAAAAATTGTCTTACAATAATGTCTTCATCTTTATCTCACTGTGACAGCAAGTTGAGGTATAGAATCAGCTAGAGGCACTTAGCAGAGTAATCAGCGTAAAACTGGCTGGCAAGTGGCCAACAATTCTTTATTTTAATCCCTACACTAATCTGATGTCCATGTAAGGAAACATCGGCAAGTTAGCTTGAGCTGCTTTGACAGACGCATCACACTTCGACTATTTATACTGAACAAAAATATAAACGCAACATATAAAGTGTTGGTCCCATGTTTCATGAGCTGAAATAAAAGATCCCATACATTTTCCATATGTACAAAAAGCTTATTTATCTTGAATTTTGTGCACACATTTGTTTACATCCCTGTTAGTGAGCATTTCTCATTTGCCAAGATAATCCATCCACCTGACAGGTGTGGCATATCAAGAAGCTGATTAAACAGCATGATCATTACACAGGTGCACCTTGTGCTGGGGACAATAAAAGGCCACTCTAAAATGTGCAGTTTTGTCACACAACACAATGCCACGGATGTCTCAAGTTGTGAGGGAGCATGCAATTGGCATGCTGACTGCAGGAATGTCCACCAGAGCTGTAGCCAGAGAATTTTATGTTATTTTCTCTTCCATATGCTGCCTCCAACGTCGCTTTAGAGAATTTGGCAGTACGTCCAACCGGCCTCACAACCGCAGACCACGTTTAACCATGCCAGCCCAGGACCTCCACATTCGGCTTCTTCACCTGTGGGATCGTCTGACCACAGACCAGCCACCCGGACAGCAGATGAAACTGAGGAGTATTTATTTCTGTAATAAAGCCCTTTTGTCGGCAAAAAGTAATTCTGATTGGCTGGGCCTGGCTCCCCATAGCTGTGCCCCTGCCCAGTCATGTGAAATCCATAGATTAGGGCCTGAATTGATTTAAATTGACTGATTTCCTTATAAGAACTGTAACTCAGTAATATCGTTGAAATTGTTGCATGTTGCATTTATATTTTTGTTCAGTATATCTATATAAGGCCTACTATAAAGGACACTCAGGTCCCTATGTGCATATATATGGTAAGTGGCTTCTATGTACAGTGTTTAAGCACGATTAACATGTAAACGTGTGAGGAGAGAGAGGAGGTCGTGTGGGAACAAGCAGTGCCCCAGCAGCCTATTGCTCCCTCCATGCAGTGGGGTTAGGTGGCCCGTCTGTCTCCCCTGGTATGTCAACCATCCCATTCCTCTTTGTCCACTTCTCAAAATAACCCAGAGCAGCTTAGACAAAGCCTGAGAGACAGACAGCCAGCCAGGCAGGCAGAATCCAGTCCAATCCACTCCGCAGGGCGGAAAACGGATTCAAAGACCCCCAGGGTCTTTTAGCCAGTAAACAACTGTGATGTTAGTTAAATGGTTTTCAT